CCCACGTGGTTATGGCGATGAACTCTTTGGCGCGAAAAGGCAAAACCGTCGATGGCACCGTCGATGGCACAGTCGATGTCACCGGCGATGTCGCGGCATGCATCGTAGCAGCGGTTCCTGTTGCAGAGAAAGGGACACCGCGATTGGTGGTGGCTAGAAGATGTTAAATATATTGCCTGGTATACAGGGGGTCGTGGGTTCGATCTCGACTGACGCCTGCTGGAAATTTGGAGTTTCCGCGTCTCTCTCCCTGTGGTCACGTGGATTTTTTTCTGGGTCCTTCGGATTTTTCCCTCCACATTTTGAATCAACATAAACGCATTTAGAGTATTTGGCTGCTATAAATTTCCGCAAGATGAGCCACTTTGTTTAGCTATAATTTGTAGCCAAATCGCTTCTGAAAAAAATAGCTATATAGCTCAGTGGGCCTTCACCTCTTCACCTTGCACCGTCAGGTCGAGATCGACCTCTGGTGACATCCACGACCAGACTCCCCCATCCAAATCCGTCTCTCACTGCCTCTCGTAGCTGGGTTAGTGTAAGGTCAGTGGTGTTCTTGATGTCTCCATCCACCTCCTCCGAGGTCGACCTCTGACTCTGGTATATCCTTTATTCCCAAGCAAGACTGATTCCTCTAGTCCAGAGGTTCTCATAAAGTGTCCAAACAAAGTAAATTTCTTCATAATAAAGGTTTTTGGGTAGATCGCGTTATTTATAAATGTGTCGTAACCCTCCACCACCCGATACGGCCAAACAGTAAAAAATGTGTCATGTTTACAAAAGACAAATAGTTCACTACATTAGCCCACCAGTGTGTTGAAAAGTGAATCAACATCATTTAAAATTTGAGTACGCCGTTTCGCTGGTAATTACGGTTTTTAAAAAAATGTATTCAGTGTCACGGTGAAGATACAAAACAAAGCAAATACCAAGGGGCCGCACCCTCCCTCGCACTGCGAAGGCCCCGCTCGGCCACCGACACGTCTGCAGGACCAGAATCGCTCCCGACACAGCACTTGCCACATCTGTGCATGCAGGGGCTGCCCCCTCCCCACCCCCCGCCTCACATGCCCTCCCCCCCGGATGCCAGAAAAGAGCTCCCCCCACCCCTCAGCCGCCCTAACCCACCCTGGGCAGCGGCCACTTCCATCTTTCCCTCGTGGCCTCGTGTCCCAGTCTCATCCTATCTACCTCCACCACCCTCTCCAACAACCTTCTTGCCACATAGCATGCCTCCAATAGGGACATCTGGGACCCCTCCAGCTCCTTTTTGCGTGCTTTCCACAAGGCCTCCTTCATTGCTCCTATTATGGCCCACGCCCGGTCCCTGTCCTCCTTTCCCACACACCGCAGTTCCCCCCACATGACGTCCCCTATCATCACCCTCGGCAGTGCGAACCGGGCCAACAACGGCATGCTCCTCCTCCATATCTCCTGGGCAAAGGGGCATGCCACCATCACGTGCACTGCATTTCCGTCCCTGTTGCATCCCCATCGGGCACTTGGGGGTGTGTGCCATTTGTCGGCCGTACATAAAACCCCTCGTTTCCAGCTTGTCCCGGGCCGCCAGCCATGACAAATCCCTCTTTTCCTTCGCGAGCGCCGCCGACAACACATTTTTCCAAATTTGTCGGTGCACCTCCCTCCTTGCGCCTGGCACCTTATCATAGGCTTCCTTTTTCTCCACCTCAGCCCGCATTTCTCTGGGAGTTCACTGTCCCCCCCACCGGTTCAGGCCGTGTTGCCCAATGAAGTCCCCCACCACATCACTTATCCAGCCCCCCGGCCAGTCCAAAGGTATATTCCTCTCTGCCTGGGGTATCCCAAGGCCCCGCAGGCGCCACATCAGACGATACCACATATAACACGTAACACGCCGCCTTGTCCCGCGGCTCCGCGGAGAAGAACAGACTCAGCGCGTTACATACGAAGGTCGAGTTCAGGGCGTACTCCACATTTGGAGCACCCCTCCCCCCGTTCCCAGCCCGCATACACAGCACGGCCCTCCACACCCTCTCCATCCCTCCCCCCCCAAATAAACCCGAAAAGCGCCGAGATCAAAACCTTGACCTCCCTCTTACCAGGCGGGAAAACCTGCGCCAGGCAGCTTAAGGTTGGCATTATCTACATCTTTACCACCATAATCCTGCCAGCCATTGTGAGTCGCCTTCCTACCCACTTACCCAGACGACCCTTTGTCTTCCTTACCCTCTTCTCCCAGTTATGTTCCCCCGACCTATCCCAACAAAAGGTCACCCCTAGTACCGTTATCTCTTCTGTCTGCAAGCTCAGTTCCGGCGGCCGACCCTCGAACAGCCTCGAGTCCCCAAAGGCCATTAGCTCGCTCTTTCTCGCATTGACCTTCAGGCCAGAGGCTGCACAGAACCTCCCTGTCCCCTCCATTGCTTTCCATACCGACGCAACGTCCCTGCACATCACGGCCACATCATCCATATACAAGGTTACCTTCCCTTGCTCTTTGTTCCCCGGTATTGTCACCCCCTAATCCTTTGGTCGTCTCTTATTACCTGCGCTAGGGGCTCCATACTCATAACGAATAGGACCGGGGACATCGGGCATCCCTGCCGTACCCCAGACCCTACTTGGATGACCCCCGAACGTTCCCTGTTTATCAAGATTCTAGCTCTAAGCCCACAATGTAGTCCTGCCACCCACTCCACCAGGGGCCCACTCATTCCCATCCTCGCCATCACCGCCAGCATATATTCATGTGAATGTCGGTCGAAAGCCTTGTCCAGATACAAGCTCAGTATCCCTAGCGGGCACCCACTTTCCCTTTCCCCTTCTATTGCCTCCCTCAGTACCACCAAGGAATCTGCGATCCTCCTCCCCGGGACCCCGCACGTCTGGTCCGGCCCTACCACCTCCCCCACCACCTTCCCTAATTGCGCCGCGACTATCCTTGCCAGGATCTTATAATCCGCGTTTAGAAGAGTTATCGGCCGCCAGCTTCGCAAGTCCTTACGGTCCCCCTTACCTTTATAGATCAGGGTAACCAACCCCTCCCACCTTTCATCCGGCACCCGGCCCTTCTCTAAAGTTACCCTTCCAATTTTTGTATATGTCCTCCTTCAAGAGCTCCCAGAATTTGATGTAGAAATCCGCTGGGATCCCGTCCGGGCCTGGGGTTCTGTTTCTATTCAATCCCTTTACCACCTCTTTCACTTCTCCCTGCCGAATTTTTCCCTCTAGCGCCTCCGGGTTCCCAACCCTCTTCCCCAATGCCCCCAGCAGTTCCTCCTGCTTCCCCCCATCTATCCATTTTATCTCATACAACTCCTTATAGAAATCTCCGCTACACTCATCATCCCTACCGTCATCGTCTGTCTACCCCTGGTAGGACTTACCAATTCCCTCATTACATTATCTCCCTCCCTACCTGCTTTAAAGAAAAACCTTGTGCACCTTTCCCCTTCCTCTGTTTCCCTGACCCTCGCCCTATACACTAATTGCCTAGCCCTTCTTTCCAAAGCTGAAGCTACTCTCCCTTTAAACTCCCCTATCCTTTCCCCCATCGGGAACCCTAGCGCTAGCAACCTGTACATTTTCTCTAGCCTAGCATTCCACTGCCTCAATTCCCTACCCACTCCCTTCCTCCTCCTATGATGCTGGAAGAACGTTTTATCCTGTCCTTTATCTGGCCCCACCATTCCACCCTCGTGGTGAAACAATCCTGCAAGGTCCTCCAGCTTTTGTATTTTTGTACGAAGTCCCCCACCAATTTCTGGTCCTCCAACAGACCCACATTCATTTTCCACACTCCCTTCCCCCTCCTCGCCCCACCTGGGATCGCGAGCCCCGCCACTACCATTTTGTGGTCAGAGAGGGGAAATGGCTCCACCCCCCCCACTTCCCATTTCCATTTTGGCAGAGACGAAAATAAAATCAAACCGTGACTGCGTTCCCCCGCTCTTATCTGACCACGTATACCCGGGTCGTGCACTATGCACCTTCCTGGATGCATCAACTATACCAAGGTCCTCCATCAACTGTTTCAGTTTTCTGGAGGAAGTCTAATTTCCTCCTCCCCTTTACCGACACCAGGTCCGCCCAGTATATTGGGCAGTTGAAATCACCCCCCACGATGACTTTTCTCCTGGTGGTCAATAGGGCCGCCAAGCTCTTCCACACTTTTGTCCTTTCCATGCACCATACCGGGGCGTACACGTTTACCAGTCGAAACTCCACGCCTTTGTAGGATACATCCACACAGAGGAGCCGGCCCGGTATCACTTCCTGGGTCCCTTCCACCCTCATTTCCCTCCTGCCTAGGAGGGTAACCACGCCAGTACATCGGTTCCCATTGCTACCCGACCAAACGTAGTGGTCGTTCCAATCTTCCAGCAGGGCCTCCGAACCCAGGGTATATGGTAGGTGGCATTCTTGGAGGAAGATCACATCTCTTCTGGTGGTCTCCAACAGGTGCATGATTGCCCCTCTCCTTCCCTTGCCCTTCATCCCTCTCACGTTTATAGACGCCACGGATATGTCCATGCCGAAGTGTGCTTTATTCTGTTTCCGATTCCGCTGCACGCTCCCTCCATCCGCCCTTGTCCGCCTTCTCTCTCACTTTCTTCCTCCCCTTCAACCTCCGGGGCTTCCCCCGGTTCAAACGTCCCCCCCCCTTCCGCCCTCCTCCATCCAAACTCCTCCGTGTCCGCCGAGTAGCCTGAAGGGCCCGTGTCGTGCTGGGGGCCAGCCCCTTTCAGGGCTCTGTCCAGTTTCCTCTTCCTCCCAATCATTTCCTTCCATGCTCCGTCCGCTCCTTCCTCTACCCGCTGCTCCTCCTCGCCCATTACCTCCGCCCAGTCCCCCACTGGGGTTCCCGGGTCTTCTTCCCCATCTCCCCTCCTCCCTCCCCTCCCCCTCCACTGGTGGTATTGCTTCCCTCCCCACAGGTCCTCCCCCCCCTCACCCTCCCCGGGGGGTCGTGGCTCCTCCGCCTCTCCTTCCTCTTCCCCACCAAGCTCCCGGCCCGATTACCGTCCAGCCACCTCCTTCGCCACCTCCCCTGCTTGTCCATTCCGGTATGCCCGCACCCTGTTGGCATAAGATTCTGGGTAGGATCTATACAGGTGCCCTCTGCTACCGCAGAGGTTGCAACGGACCGGCTCCCCGCATTCCTCCACTGTGTAGTCCGGCGACTTGCACCTATAACAAATCCGTGCCTTGCATGCTGCTGCCAGGTGCCCCCTTCCCCCACACCTCCTACACAATTTGGATTGGCCCGCGTATACGACGTAGCCCTTGTTCCCCCCAATGTTCAAAGCGCTCGGGATGTGCCTCAGAGCCCATCCCTCCATCTTCAGGCGCACCCTCCACTGCCTGGCCCCCGTCCATATCCCCGCCACGTCCTGCACCCTCTTGCAGCCAGACAACAACACGCAGTGCTGCCTCAGCCACACCTCCACATCCTGGTCATGTAGCGCCTCGTTGTACAGGAAGACGGTTACAACCTTCGTTTCCAGGTCTGACAGCAGCCGCGTCCTCATGGAAGTCAGGGGCTTCTCCCCTGCCCTCTCCTCGAAATGGGTGAGGAAATTCTGCAGCAGAAGATTTGACTTAAAACTCACGTCAAACGCTCTCCCCCCTGGCAGAGCAATCAGGCAGGAGAGGTCCGCCACCTCCACCCGCAGCATCCTGAGCATCCCCGTCCTCACGAAAGTTGTTCTATCCAGAGTCACCTCCTCTTCCACGTCGTCCTTGAATTCTACCCTTACGCAGTTGTGCCTCCTGGCATGCGTTGGCGTCAGGCTCGCCCCGGCTCCAGTGCGCCACCTCCCCGCTCCTTCGCTGGATCTCCCCGCTCCCACCGGGCCAGTGTTCGCAGTCCTCTCCCTCCACTGCCTCTCCCACGGCCCCTGGGTTGCTGGCACCCCTCCTGCTCCTTCCTCCCTACTCTGCTCGGGGGCACTCCCTCCCCATGCTCCTGGTGCTTCCGCTCATTCTCTTCGCTCCTCCCTCCCCGTTCCCTCCGGCCCATCCACCCTCTCCACACCCTTCCCACGTTGCACCTCACCCATCACCTCCCCCGCTCCAGTCTGGCCCGCGCCGTCCCTCCCGTCGCTCTCAGCTCCACGGGCACCCTCCATAGTCCGTGGCGTACGCCGCGTCTCCTTCCCCGCCGTTTCCATGCGCTGGTTGCAGTGGGATCACCCCTCCCGCAGCGCATGTGGCTCCCCCACCCTCAGGCAGCAAGGCCACCCCAGACCGCCCGGTCTGGGGCCCTCGCAAACCCCGGGGTGGCTGGAGAGTCCACGGGATGCCGACGTATGTCGCAGTGGCACCTCAGGAAGAACGGGTTCCGCTGGTGATTACCTCCAGCATCATCGGGCAATTTGCCAGAATGGTAAAGCCCTCACTTGCTCCCAGTTTTAAATAGAACATTTGAGGCGGAGACGGGGGGGGGTTATTGTAATTATAAAATTGATTGGTAATCAGTCAATGGTTATGATTAGTAATGAGTTGTAGATTAGTAATTAGTTGTAATGTGTGTTATTGTGATTATATGCTACGTTAGTAATCCGTTAATTAGTATGTCTTTCGCCTATAAGGAATTTTAGTATTTATTATTTTATAATACGCTTACAAGCCACACTAAGCCTCTAGCTGTCAGAGCATTTAAAGTTATTTGTATTTCTCTCAATTTCAATGGATTCTCTAATTAGTATTTGCCAGTAATAATTACCTTTACACAACACTTCAACGTTATGAAAATCAATTGAGTGTCCTTGTTGACAAGCATGTTCTGCCACTGCCGACAGTTGTGTTTGAAATAATTGAATATTTATTTGGTGTTATTTTAGTCTAATGCTGATGTTACGTCCCGTCTGTCCAATATAGCATCTGCCACATAAACAGTTAATCCAATATACACCTTCTGGTGATAATTTAGGTAATTCGTCTTTAGTGCAAGATACTAGGTTTTGAATTTTGTATACTGTACCAAATCTTACTGTAATGTTTTGCTTTTGCAAAACACGGGCTAATTTGTCAGTTACTCCTGACATATATGTAATTTTAATTGTTTTAACAATCTGATCGCTTTCAGCAGTGTTGCTTTGCGATCGTGATTTGGCATTCAGTGCTCTGTTAATTTGACTATTATTGTAGCCATTCTGTCGTAATGCTTATTTAACGTGTTTGATATCTCTCACTAGACTTTCACCATCTGACACTGTTTTAGCCAGATGTATGAGCGTCTTGATAAGAGAGGATATCTGAGCTGGATAATGATGCGAATCTGTGTTCAGATAGGCATCATTGTGTGTTTTCTTTCTGTAAACGCTGTGTTATTTTATCGTTTAGGCCATGTCCAAGCAAAAAATCTAGGGACGGGAGTGTGTTATTCACTTCCATTTCCATGGTGAACTGGATGGCCGGGTTTTGTGCATTGAGATGATTTAGAAAATCATTAAGTGAATCTTTACCATGTGGCCAGACAACCAAAGTGTCATCCATGTATCTAAACCAAAAGGATGTTTTTAATGTGCTCGAGGCAAGTGCTCTTATTTCAAAGTTGTCCATGTACAGATTTGCTATAGCAGGAGATAAAGGAGAGCCCATTGCTGCTCCTTCCTTTTATTTGAAGAAATCCCCTCTCCATAAGAAGTAAGTTTTATTTAAACAATGGTCAGCAAGTTTCGGAATATCTTTTCGTAAACCTGTATTCTTTACTAGTCTATCAAGTAATTTAAGCGATTCGTTCACTGGAACCTTAGTGAATAGATAAATCACATCAAAACTTACCAGAATATCATTAGGATTAAGTTTAATATCTTTAATCACATTCGCAAGATGTTCTGGATTTCATATGAATGAAGATGTCCTACCGACGTAGGGCTGTATTTGTTTAGTTATATATTTTGCTAATTTATGCATGGCAGAGCCAATTTTACTGACTATGGGTCGTAATGGAATGCCGATTTCATGAAGCTTTGGTAGCCCATTCAGTATAGGTTGTTTTGAGGCCCTTGGCTTAATTTGGTGTTGCTCATTCTTAGGGATTAATGAATTTGCAATTATTGCAGTAGTCTTACGTTCTAAAGTATTAGTTGGATCTCGTTTAATTTTAATCTAGGTACTTTCCTCTAGTAAATTTTTAATTGTATTATCATAATCGGCTCGTGACATCACTACAGTAGTGCGGCCTTTATCAGCTGCCAGGATTTGGATATCTTTATTTACAAGGAGCTCTCTTCAGGCTTTTGCTTCGTTAGAGCTAATATTTACTTTAACATAGCCATTTCTGTGACCAGTCACAAGCTAATCACTCAGCTATTTCAATGCTAAATTCTCCTGTTTGATTTGTACTAGGTGCCTCTGTGGATGTGTAGGCTTTGACTTTAACATAGCTATTTCTATGACCAGTCACAAGCTAATCACTCAGTTATTTCAATGCTACATTCTCCTGTTTGATTTGTACTAGGTTCCTCTGTGGATGTGTAGGCTTTGACTTTAACAGCCATTTGTGACCAGTCACAAGCTAATCACGCAGCTATTTCAATGCTAAATTATCCGAACCAAACATTAAACTAATTTTCAATGGTACAGTATATTTTTTCAAGTAGTGGTATCCCAAACTTTCGCAGCAGCTTAGATTCCCTTTTCACACCATCAATATGTAAACTCCCTCTCCCCCCCTCGCCGGTCTGCACATGTTCACCCCCTCTAAACCGTTCATCATGCTAAGTCCGCCAATTAAATGCTAATTTTTATGCTAATTCCTTTGTCAAGGCGCTGTTTCTTCTCACACAACTTAAAGGTCGCGGTCTGAGCTTGGCTCTGTTCACTCCAGCACTGTCCTCGAGACAGTCTCGTCTCTTCACCTGATGAAGCCCGCTTGTGTTGTGGCCGAAACGTCGTGAGAATTTTATTGCGTTATTTTATTTCATTAATTTATTCTTTTATTCTCATTCTACGTGACTTTACCGAAAGAACCAACGAAGATGATTACCAATCGAATATATAATTACAATAACCCCCCCCCTCCGCCTCAAATCACTGCACCTGAATGAGTTAAATGATGACGTCACCCTGCTGCTCTATTTAAGACCGGGAGCAAGTGAGGGCTTTACCATTCTGGCGAATTGCCCGATGATGCTGGATGTAATTGCCAGCGAAACGTCGTACTCAAATTTTAAATGATGTTGATTCACTCCTCAACACACCGGTGGGCTAAAGTAGTGAACTATTTGTCTTTTTCATCATTAGACCTCCTTTGCCAGTACCAAAATGTAATAGGGTTTTTCCCCTTTTTTCTGACAACAAAACTGAAACCTTTTTTTACGAGGATTCATGTCTGCATTAACCACAATACCTGCAGTCAAAATGCAAACAAAAAAAATACTATAATAATATATATTTATTGTCCTTGAAACTGATTGGTCCACACCAAGGGATGGCTTTCTTTTGAGCCTCGACCCAATTGGTGCTCGGGTGGTGGAGGGTTACAACACATTTATAAATAGCGCGATCTAACCCAAAAACCTTTAATATGAATAATATTGGTCGCGAAAGCCTACGTGTTAAACAAATAAAATTTCTGCTTTATGAATAAGGCCTCGAGTGGAAGAGCAGGACCGATCTCTCTCAGGACGGACATGTTTGATATTTGGCTGTCCGTGGTTACGTAGCATTCTTCTCCAACACCACAAATGCTCTTATACTCTTTCGCTCACTCAATCTCAGCGTCCACAAATCACATTCATATATGGCAACAGGGAATACCAGAACTTTGACAAGTCTCTTCTTGGTGCGTATGGTAATGCCCTTGTCTCTCCCTATCTTATTGAGCTGTGACATGGCTATTCTACTGAGAACTGACCGCCTACTGATCTCGTGGCTACATTCTCCGTCTTCAGCAGTCAAGGAACACAGGAAGACAACGTTCTTCGCAACTTTTATTCATGCATTTTCCAGACAAAAGAGTTTAGTGGTTCTGTCGCCATCATCTTGATCCTTTGGAGATTGAGGCACAGCCCAGCCTTCCGACTAGCTTCTTTAACATTTACCAACAGGGTCATAATTTCAGTTTTGCAATTTGATAGTGGGGTGGTATCATCAGCATCTCTTAAGTTGTTTATTCTTCTAATCTTCACGCCTGCTTCGATGCAATCCAGGCCTGCCTCTCGCATAATACGCTCACTGTATAAATTGAATAGGTAAGGACACCGTATACAGCCCTGTCTTACTCCTTTCCCAATGTCAAATTCTCGTAGAATGGGCGATGCTCTTTGGTTGGCATATATATTAAGTAACACAGTGGGCCATACCTGGTTAAAAAAATGTTTTTATTTAGTTTAGATTAAACTTTCTACAATTGACGTTGAAGATGATAATGCATAAGCCCTTTCTGTCTATCTGTCTGTAACACGACGACCCTTGTAAATATGATCCTACAGGAACGAAGCTTCAGCAAAATGATATGTTGCTATTAGGGGCTTACCGAATTGGGGAGACAATTTAAGTTATAAAAGTGGTGAACAAACATTGAAGATACACGCCAGAGCAATAAAAAAAGTATTAATTGAAAAATTTCAAATAGTGATTTGTCCTGGAAGATACAAGTACAGGATCCGTATTGCTGATTAAACACTTTCAAAGACAAACGTAAGTCGATAAGCTTTAAACACTCTACCGATTTACGTGTCGCTTCCGCGACCAATATTATATTGTTATATATATTATTATTTTATTGTTTCCATTCAACGTGACTTTACCGAAAGAACCAAGAATATGAATCACTGCAGTCACGAAAGCTTTAAATCAAAATTCAATATTATATTGTTAAGCTGCTGTGGGCTAGATCGCGCAGATGTTTCATAAACAAAGGTGGGAGGGAGGAGAGGGAGGGCGTTCCGGAGGGGCCCTGCAGAAGGAGCAGCTGCAGCATCTGAAAGCGCTGCACGATGCGGTTTTACCTCCCTCTGCACCTCCAATTAACACGGTTGGCAATGCACGGTGCAAAATAAGGTTAATAAGTATGCAGTCAACGGTATTTCTGTATTTAGCTATCGTTTTATATCCCGGTATGTGAATGTTGTGGCTTCAGAACCACCTGCCACCTACAGTATTCTGTACCCATATCATGCCCACATCATACTAAAATAAATAAATAAATGCTCCAAGTCAG